TTAAGGGGCAAACTCAGTTGCTCTCTATCTATGAGGGTTAACTTTTTTTTCTTAATTCCTCAGTTAATAATGATCGAATTATTCCATAAATGCACATAAAGGTAGAACCGGACGGATAGTTTAAAATGCTCTATGCCGCTTGTCTCTATCTTAAGCCGTTTAGTAGTTATTGGCATTTAAAAATATGTCAAATACCTTGTCGCGTTTATGCTATCCTATTACCAAAATTTTATTGACGAAATTGGATCTTTTCGAATTCGGAACTTTGTATCAGGATAATAGAAACGCGAGGAGATATCGAAAATTTTTATTTTTGCTCATATCTTTTTAAATATTGCTGCTGGAAAAAAACTCAGTATATTTTTGAGATCTACATGTGACCTATCCGTAAGCAAATTTAAATTGTTTTTTATTTTTTCAAAAAAATTGTCTAAATTTGCATACGGGTAGAGGGTCATATGTGGTCATATGTAGATCTCAAAAATACACTCAGTTTAATTCTAACAGCAATATTAAAAAAGTTGTGGCAAAAATAAAAATTTTCGATATCTCGCCTCGCTTTTCTATTATCCTGATACAAAGTTCCGAATTCGAAAAGTTCCAATTTTGTCTACAAAATTTTCGTACCAGGATAGCAGAAACGCGACAAGGTATTTGACTTATTTTTAAATGTTAATAACTACTAAACGGCTCAAGATAGAGGCAAGCGGCAAGGGGAATTTTAAACTATCCGACCGGCTCTACCTTCATGTGAATTTATGGAATAATTCGATCATTATTGACTGAGGAATTAAGATAAAAAAGTTAACCCTTATAGCTAGGGAGCAACTGAGTTCACCCCTTAATTGCTTTTGCTTTATTTTATATGTACCCCAATTTTCATCAAGATCGGAGATAAAAAAAATGTTTGTCAAAAAATTTGGAAGGCTATAACCCTTTCGGTTTTTTTGAAAAAATAAAAAACTGTTTAAATTTGCATACGGATAGAGGGCCACATGTAGATCTCAGAAATACACTCAGTTTTTTTCCAACATCAATATTAAAAAAGTTGTGGCAAAAATAAAAATTTTCGATATCTCCTCGCTTTTCTATTATCCTGATACAAAGTTCCGAATTCGAAAAGTTCCAATTTTGCCTACAAAATTTTCGTACCAGGATAGCAGAAACGCGACAAGGTATTTGACTTATTTTTAAATGTGAATAACTACTAAACGGCTCAAGATGGAGGCAAGCGGCAAGGGGCATTTTAAATTATCTGTCTGGCTCTACCTTCATGTGAATTTTTGGAATAATTTGATTATTATTAACTGAGGAATTAAGAAAAAAAGTTAACCCTTATAGCTAGGGGGGAGCAACTGAGTTCACCCCTTAATTCCTCGTGCTTTCCTTTATATGTACCCCAATTTTCATCAAGATCGAAGACAAAAAAATGTTTTGTCTAAAAATTTGGAAGGCTATACCCTTTCGATTTTTTTGAAAAAATAAAAAACTGTTTAAATTTGCATACGCATAGAATGCAACCCCTGGAGCTAAAAAATATACTCAGTTTTCTTCTAGCAGCAATATTTAAAAAGTTGTGGCTCATTTAGCAAAAAGTATTGAAGATGGAGAGAAGCAGATACCGGCCAGACATTTTAAATTAAATACTGTACCTTTGTGCCAAATTTCATAAAGATCTGAGCAAAAATAAATATTTTCCATACCACATCGCATTTCTGTTACCCTGATACAAAGTTCCGAATTCGAAAAGATCCAATTTTGTCTACAAAATTTTGGTATCAGGATAGTAGAAACGCGGCAAGGTATTTTGAATGAAAATATAGTTCCATGATCAAATAATCGTATCATTTGGGGTAACGTAATTCGATGTATTTTTGAATGTGAATACGAAAAGATCCAAGTTCGTTAATATCATTTTGGTATCAGGATAACAGAAAAGCGAGAAGCTATTATGCATGAACATGTAGTTCCATAATCAAATAATCCTATAATTTAGGGTAACGTAATTCGACGTATTTTTCAATGTGAATACTAAAAGATCCAATTTCGTCAATAAAATTTAGAAAGGAACTGAGTTTACACGTCATGAGGATAACAAAAGAGCAAGGAGGTATTTTAAAAATGGTGGGAAAATTAAGTTCCTTAATCCAGTAACTGTTTAATTTAGGAAAACGCAATATTAATTTGATAAAATTTTGGTTTCAAACAAAATAATCGATTAATATAATTTTTTAATCGGTAATAGATGATTAATCGATTATTTTCGATTACTTGATTTTACAAGTTTCCTTCTTTAATTTTATAGTTTTGACTATTCACTAATAGATGGTGCTCTTGTAAATTTTGCCAGCCATTTTCTATCCATTTTCTTCAAATAATGTTCTGTTGTGATGCGACGAATTAATAAATGAAAAATGAAGTCGTTTAACAAGTCGTTTATTATGAAAAATACATAATTTAATACATATTTTAATTTTGGTTTATACAAAAATACTGACAA